CATCTCGGAGGGTGTAGGAGTGCAAATATCCAGAGATGTAGTGATCAGGTGGGATTGCTATGAGGAATTATAACAGATATAGGGTAAGCCATCTGTGTCAGCAATGAAAGCATTGCGTTGACTGGGTTTAAACTATTTTGATATGATTCTTGATCAATCTACACCCCTGCATCCCTGTTCCATTCCTCTCTTCCTCACATGTCACGTACACAGCAGTTGCTTCACCAGGCAGGCTCCTGGGCCATAAAGATAGTGGGCAAGTTTCTTTGAAGCAGTTTCTTATATATTAATCTTAGGATGTTAATCTTAGGGCCAGGAAACAGATCTCACATGAAGGTGATAATGATCCGCTGTCCTCCTGGTCATCCTTCTTATCATATGTACTGATTGTTTATTACCTCCGGGGTTGCCAGATGCTCTTCTTTGTAGTTCTGTTCTTTGTTTACCCCAGAAATATTTGTGCTTAATTAGTTTTAGTAGTTTAACTTGTCCCCACGTGGGTTTGTGGAAATGCTCAGAAGAAATCTGATTGGTTCTTACGAACACTCTGTAAAAAGTTCTTTTGTGAATAAAACGGCCTGGGCCAGGGGCTGCACATGGACAGGCACAGAGAGAGAGAGACGATTTATACGCACCCTTCCCAGAGTCTTGCTGGTTCAAGCCTCTGTGTGTATTCTTATTAATCAGAGTTCAATCCTTCCTTTGCTTTGCGAATGCAACAGGAGGGGTAGTAGGGTTGCTGGGTTTAGGGAGTTGACCCGTTTAATAGTGACATTGGATGGAGTTAACAGGAGGGCTTCATAACGGTTTAGGCGTGGGTTTGAGAAGTGGTGGCAGCCCCTTAGAGTTAGAAGGGTTGAGACCGCGTGGGGAACATGGATTGTGATCTCATGTCCTAACACTGTCTCTTGAGCCTTTTGAAGGAGGAGCGCAGAGGCAGCAATGGCTCTCAAGCAACTCACTGCTCCCTTTGCAGTATTGAGTTGTAGACTGTAATATGCCACTGGCCTTTCTTGATCTCAGAAGGGCTGGGTAAGAACTCCTGAGGCTACCCCCATTTGTTCATGAATGAATAGGTTGAAAGGGATGCGATAGTCCGGGAGGCCCAAGGCGGGGGCAGATCGTAATTCTCTCTTAAGGCGTTCAAAGGAGTTATAGGTTTCCTCTCCCCAAACAAGTTCATCAGGATGATCTTGGCGGGTCATAGCTGACTGGGGTTTAGTTATTTCGCTGTAGCCGGCAATCCAAGCTTGGCAGAAGCCTGCCATACCAAGGAAGCCCTGCAATTGTCTCTTTGTTTTGGGGAGGAGGATTTTGGTGACTGCCTCTATTCTGTCAGTTGCTAGGCTTTGGGTGCCTATCTCCAGGATATGTCCGAGGTATTTTATTTCCTGCTTGCAGTATTGCAGCTTCTTAGGGGACACCTTGTGTCCTTTATATGCTAGCTCGAGAAGGAGGTGTTTTGTGTCTAATTTACACGCCCCCCTCGCTGGTAGAACATATTAAAATGTCATCTACATAGAGCAGATAGGTAGACCAGACAGATGTACATCCTGTAAATCCTGGTGTAATATTGCAGAAAATATAGCGGGCGATTCCGCATAACCCTGGGGTAGTCTGGTCCAGGTTAGTTAACTAGGTCCCCAGGTGAAGGCAAAGAGGAATTGACTCTCAGGGGCTAGAGGGATACTGAAGAACACAGAGCATAGATCTGCAGCGCTGTACCATGTAGTTCCTGCCAGGATTGCATTTAGAAGGGAATTTGGGTTGCCCACCACTTTCTCAGGTCCTGAACAAATTGTTCATTCACCCACAAATAGCAAAGTGAAGTGTACTAAGCCTAAACAAAGCAAAACAGGTTGTTTTGGGTTCCATCTACATAGAAAGAAGAATCTTGGATTTCGCTTATTTCAAGTCGTGTTCTTTGGGGTTAATGCACATTTACCCAGAAATCGCAAAGTGTATGTAATGAGACCAAAATAACAAAACACCGTCTTTTCGCTTCCATATGCGTAGAAAGAAGACGAATAAGCTTTGATTGGGCTTATTTCAATTCGCATGGTGTTCTTTGGGTGTGCACCAGAATCACCTCCAACCAAAGCAAAAAGGTGTTTTGGCTTCCATCTACATAAAAAGAAGATGATAAAGCTCTGGTTGGGCTTATTTCAAATTGGTGTTTTTGGGGTTAGAATGCACATTCACCCAAAAATCGCAGAGTGAAATGTTTGTTATCAGCCCAAATCAAGCATAGGTGTTTTTGTTCCATCTCAATAGAAAGAGGACGAATAAGCTTGGATTGTTCTTTCGGTGTTCATTCACCCACTAATAGCAAAACGAAGTGTAATAAGGCTAAACAAAGCAAAACAGGTTGTTTTGGGTTCCATCTACATAGAAAGAAGAATCCTCTGTGGGCCTGAGGTGTTTGAGATGGCCTGAGCATTGCTTGCACCTGAAGCAGCTTGCACCTGAAGCAGTCCAGGCAGCACCGTGGGACACGATTCAAGAGAAGCTCCGCAACCACTATGCGCCAAAGCCGTCCAAGATTACTGCCCGCCATGCATTTTACTACCGGAACCAGGCAGAGGGGGAGTCAATCAACAACTACACCACCGCCCTGCGACAGGCTGCAATGCACTGCAAGTTCCGAGACTTAGACGATGCCCTGATGGATCGAATCATCTGCGGGGTCCGGGATATCCGTCTGCAACTGTGTCTCCTCGCCAAACCAGACCTCACGCTGCAGAAAGCCATTGAGGAGGCCGTGGCCTCGGAAGCTGCTGATCCTCAAGCCAGCATCCCGCGTCTTGCTAGGAAGCCAGTTCCAGTGCATCACGAAGAGGTCAGCAGTGATGAGGCATCCTCCAGTGAAGACGATGATGTGCACCAGACAAAGCGGGAGCGCAGGAAGTTCCAACAGAAATCCAAAGGTCAATCGGAATGTGCCGGCTGTGGAGGCAACCATTCCCGTGCCAAGTGTTGATTCAGAGATGCCATCTGTCGGACGTGTTCCAGAAGGGGCCACATCGCTAAGGTCTGCCGATCGGCTCCGTCCGGCATCCCCCCTTCACCGACTCACAAGTCCAAGTCTTCACTCCAGTCCGCCAAGGAAAGCTGTTTCGCTCTCACCAACCGCCACTGCCCGTCTGGAACCACTATTGGCCAAACTGACTCACCTACGCGACGCAAGCTGAACGTCACGGTGCTCATTGAAGGAGCTCCATGTGACATGGAGATTGACACTGGGTCTGCCCTGTCCATCGTGTCTTGGAGCACCATCAAAAGACTGGTACCCAGAGTGTCTAAAAGGCAACTCGACTCTCACCGTGTACACCTGAGAGACTACCAGGGAAACTGGCGGAAATGACTGGCAGAATCCGAGACCAGGGAGAAGAGTCGGTGGAAGAAGATTGGAAGAAATTTAAAAACTATCTACAGAAATATTGTAAAATTAATGAATGTTAGAATGATGTTGGATGGAAGTTAAGTGGTTTTTAGCAGCCATGTTATAAAGGAATATGTAAAAATGGATTGTTAACAGGTGATAATTTAAAGCTATAATATATTAAGATAAAAGATTAAGATAAAATCAAAGAGGGAAAGGAATTGCTGAATTAACTAATTGAACTGGAATACAAAAAAGGGAGGTGTGAGGAGGTCAGGGAAACAAGCAAATGAAAGATAAGATATGGAAAGACTGACTTGTTTTTAACTGTTTTTACCTTGTATTTTTATTTTCGGTTTTTTTATTTTCTTTTACTCTTTTCTCTTATTTTTGTAATATGCTGAAACTTTAATAAATATCTTATAAAAAAAAAAAAAAGAGAGACTACCAGGGAAACGACATTCCCGTGGTAGGCGTTGGCCGGTTCCGGATCGCCTTCAAGGATTTTTCGGGCCTGCTCCGACTGGTGGTGGTCGAAGGTCAGCGGCCAAGCCTCCTAGGGCTAGACTGGTTTGATGGAAGTCACCGACATCAACTGCATCTCTTAACGCAGAGACTGAGGGTCTGGTCAAAGACTTTGCTGAGGTTTTTGACGGCACTTGGGGCAGGTACGCCCATCTCCTTTAGCCTTGATCCACAAGTCGCCCCCATCAAGCTAAAGCCACACCAGGTTCCCTTTGCTCTCAAGGCTAAGGTGGACGAACAACTGGACAAGCTGATCGCCCAAGGAGTTTTGGAGCCGGTTGACCACGCCAAGTGGGAAACCCCCTTCGTCACGCCTGTCAAGCCAGACGGGTCGGTGAGAATCTGCGCTGACTACAAGTGCACGATCAACAAGGCAGTTCAGCAGCACGCTTATCCGGTTCCTGTTGTTCAACACCTGCTGCGTTCCTTGGATGAGGGTAAGGTCTTTGCTAAGCTGGACCTTGCCCAAGCCCATCAACAACTGCCCGTCGATGATGCCACCGCTGAAGCCCCGACAATCGTCACCCACCGAGGGGCATTCCGTTGCCGCCGTTTGTAGTTCGGAGTAAGTGTGGCTCCTGGCATCTTCCAAAGCCTTATGGAGCGTCTCCTGCAAGGGCTTCCGGGCATGGTACCATATTTTGATGACGTCTTGGTGTCCGCAGACTCACACCAGCAGCTGTTCGAGCGCCTCCACACCGTGCTGACCAGGTTCCAGGAGGCCGCGCTCAAGGTAAAGAGGGAGAAGTGCCAGATCGCCGTTCCACAGGTGGAGTTTCTGGGCTATCTTATCGACGCCTCCGGCCTTCACCCGACCACATCCAAGATCCGCACTCTCCAGCAGGCCCCCAGCCCAAAGAACAAGACGGAGTTGCAGGCGTTCCTGGGACTGCTGAACTTTTATAACATGTTCCTGCCCCACAAAGCCAAGTGGCTGAGCCTCTCCACCGACTCCTCAGCATGAAGACACGTTGGTCCTGGGGTCATCGGGAGATGGCGGCCTTCAACGCGGTCAAGGCTCTCCTTTCATCGGACAGTGTGCTGGTACAGTACAGTGAAGCCAGGCCGCTGGTCCTTGCCTGCAACGCCTCACCTTTTGGCATCGGCGCTGTCCTTAGTCACCGTTTTCCAGACGGAAGAGAAGCACCGCTCGCCTACTTTTCCAGGACGCTATCTCTGACTGAACGGAATTACAGCCAGCTCGACAAGGAGGCACTGGCACTTGTGGCTGGAGTGAAGAGGTTCCATGAATACCTCTACGGCAGGACTTTCGACCTCATCACCGACAATAAGCCACTGCTGGGCCTCCTCGCCGGTGATCGACCAACTCCACCGGTCCTCTCACCACACATGCTGCGATGGACTGTTTTCCTGGCTGCCTACCATTAGGCCCGGGGAAATCGATGGGCCATGCCGACGCCCTCACCCTCAGCCGTTGCCCTCTTGCAGCATTTGTGGAAGACCCGGCTCCTGCTTCATCGCTTCTCCTGACTGAGGATCTTCCGGCAGCGCCTGTATCGGCTGCCACTGTGGCCTCCGCATCTGCCGAGGATCACACCATCAGCCATGTGCTCAACTGGGTGTGGAGGGGGTGGCCACAAGGGCCTTTTGCCCTTTTGGTGTTCCAGCCCTTCGCAACCAGACAACACGAACTCTCGGCTCATCGTGGCTGTCTGCTGTGGGGAGACCGCGTCGTGATTCCCCAAAGACTCTGTCAACGCGTCCTTGAAGCTCTGCGCGTTGGCCACCCGGGAATCGTCAAAATGAAGGCGTTGGCTTAGTGTTACGTCTGGTGGCCTAACATGGACGATGCCATCACTGCCTGGGTTTCCGCCTGTGAAGCGTGCCAAGAATCGAGGCCTGCGCCACCGGCAGCTAAGGGACACACCTGGGAGACGCCCAAGACACCCTGGTCAAGGGTGCACATCGATCTGGTTGGCCCCTTTCGTGGCCGGACCTTTATGGTAGTGGTGGACGCCTATTCCAAATGGCTGGAGGTGGCCCTGATGCCCTCCACCACTACCCAGGCAGTTATACGGGTGCTGCGAGGCCTCTTTGCAACACATGGGTGTCCTGATGTCCTCATCTCTGACAAAGGACCGCAGTTCACCTCAGGCACTTTTGAGCAATACCTTTTGGGACTGGGCATCTGCCATGCCCTAACGGCACCATTTCATCCATCCCGCAACGGGCAAGCGGAGAGAATGGTGCGCTCAGCAAAAGAGGCACTAGTGCGCTTGGACCGGGGAGACTGGCATGAGTGGGTTGCTGAATACTTGTTCGTGCAGCACATCAAAACATCACCCCTCACGCGGCCACAGGGCGGAGTCCTGCCAAACTGCTCATGGGTCACCACCTCAGGTCTCCGCTCGACTGGCTACACCCGAACTTTGCCGTGGCCGAACCCCCAGGCTGTGTCAACACGCCACGATCATTTGTTCCAGGAAACCAGGTCTTTGCCCGGAACTTTGTGGGAGACATTCCTTGGGTGCCAGCCGCAGTAGTGGGAGTCACTGGACCTCGCTCATACCAGGTGGCACTCGAAGACGGACGTTTGTGGCGCCGGCACATAGACCAGCTTAGGCGCAGGGTTCGGGACTTGGACACTACCGCAGTGCCCCCAACTGCGCTCATGGCTCTGGAACAGACACAGATGGCAAGGCTCCACCTACACCTCTCTCACAAACTGCAGGCGTGGAGCCGAACCAAGCCGCTTCAGAGGGTCTGCCAGACTTCCCACAGACTCAGACCACTGCCGTGCCTGACATTCCACCAACTCCACTTGTGGAGGTTCCACCCACAGCAGCGGTTCCAGTGGACTTGGTTTCTAGGGTCGCTCCACAGCCTCAGCAAGAATCAGGCAGCCCACCGGACCTGGGTACCGCTCCCCGGCAGTCTGGCAGAGTTTCCAAGCGCCCAACTTATTTAAAGGACTATGTTGTTGGACATGTAATACTGTTGGTCTAATGGAAGTATGTGAAATGCAACCAATATGCTTTTGTGCCTAATTGAACCTGCTGTGTAGTGCTGTATATAAGGAAACCATTACGATTGTAAATAACGCCTTATCTCGGTGGGGAGGGGTGTTATGTACTGAAGTCCTGACCCTGGGCCAGCAGGGGGATACTGTAGATAGTTATGCAAATAAGGGATTGAAAGTGACGTTCAGTGATTGGATAGTTTTAGAAAGTTGTTACAATTATGTGTACTGGAGCTCTATATAAGCAGGCTGACTGAACCTTTCAGCTCAGTTCTGTTCTGGCCTCTGAATAAACAAGAGCTGTTTGAAGAATCGCTGTGTCGTCTGATATGTTTACCCACAACTAAACACTAATCATAACCCTAAACGAAACAAGACCCTAACGCTAAGCCTCTGCCTAACCCTGACAACCCCTTCATCTTACCCTTACCTTCTCCCCTAATTCTAACCCCTAACCTTTCCCCACTAACACTAACCTTAACCATCTCCCCCCAACCCAAACCCTCTTCCCATAACCCTAACACCCTAACCCTAACCCTAACCCTAAACCATACACTCTAAGCCTAAGCTTCACCCTAACCCTAATGCTACCGCCAACACTAACCCTAAACGAAACAGAACCCCCAACCCAACCTTAACCCTAACCCTAAACAAAACAAGATTTCTGATTTCTGTGATTCTAATGGTATTGTGTCAATTTTATGTTAATTTAATTTATTAATTTATGTTAATATAAATTTAATTAATTTATGTTAATATAATTTCAAAAAGGAAGCAAATCACTCCTAACCAAGGAAACCCCGGAGGAGACACAAAAACAATGAAAAACTATCACCATAATGACAAATTCACCACAAAACTTGAAAGAAGCAGAATAACCCAAAACAAAGAAGAAACATCAGAATCATTAAAACCAATTGAGGTGAAGCAGAGTCACCCTTAATTGAACAAACAACACCAAGAAAAACAAAATCACTGGAAACATGACTTGCACACAATACATATCAGATAAGTTTACACTGGTTTGGTTGTTTCTGGTGGAATTGCTTTTCAGTATTTAACTTGTTTCTTTGGGTTCTTTTCATGTAGTTTCTGTTTGGGGTGGTTTCCCTTGTTTGGGGTGGTTTACTTGCTTTTCAAAATTATCAGACATAAACATGACACTAATACCATCAGAAGGGCAAAAATTGGAAACCCACCCCAGAAATGACGAAACACCGGAGGAGACACAAAAATGGTGAAAAGCCACCGCCAAAATGCCAAATTCTCCACAAAACACGATAGAAGCAGAATAACCCAAACCACAGAAAAAACCGTCATAATCATTGAGGAGAAGCGGAACCACCCTAAACTGAACATGCAACACAAGGAAAAGCAAAATAACTAGAAACATAACATGTACACAATATTTGCATATCAGTTTATGCTGGTTTGAGGGTTTCTAATGAATTTGCTTTTTTCTTTGGGTTCTTTTCAAGTAGTTTCTGTTTGTGGTGGTTTCCTTGGTTTGGGGTGGTTTGCTTGCTTTTCGAAATTATCAGACATAAATATGACACGATACCATCAGAAGCACAAAAATTGGAATCCCCTCCCAGTAATGACAAGACACCAGTTTAGGGGTTTCTAATAAATTTGCTTCTCAGTATTTTGCTTAGTGTTCACAGGACCACAAGGTGATTGCTGTTAGGTGTCGCCCTCTAGTGGCACCTTTAAAGATATTTATGTATCGCCACTGCATCGAGGCCTCTATTGCACGTGAAAGTTATGCCATGAAGCACACCTTGCAATCAATTTTTATTGACTGGAAACAGAGCAACTGCTGCTTACAGCGTCCCTGGGATCATTTCCCTCTCCTAAAATGATGTTGGCTGCGCTTTTTTTCCTCTCTTCCACCATGGAGTTCTACATGGAGGCACTTCCGCTAGTTATTTCCATCTCCTAAAATGGCGCCGGCGACGCTTTCTTCCCTCTTCTACTATTCCCTCACATCCGCAGCTCGAAGCAGGGACTGCCCACCCACCGAGCTCGGGGCACAGGCGCTGGGCTTGCTTCGATCTCCTCCCTGTCCTGGCTCTTTTCAAAAACCTCTTGCCCCAGCCCCAACGAGGTCATCGTCTCTTCCCGGTACAATGTATAATTTATTACCTGTCTTAAGATAGCTCCTTTTTAGGTCCCAAAATAATCTGCCAGGTGGTCATGGCCAATAGGCTTTACCTTGATGCTGCTAAGGACCTACCATGCTAAATTTTACCAAAGACTAAAGAAAAATGCATTTTAAGAACAGAGGCTAATTTGGAAGCTGTCTTACATATGGAAAGCTTTCCTTTTCCAGACTTTAGAAGTTTTACGCATGCACACATTTAAAAAAGGTGTTTGATGAATTAATGGTTAAAAAGATAAACATAAAGGTAAAGGGACCCCTGACCATTAGGTCCAGTCGTGGCTGACTCTGGGGTTGCGGCGCTCATCTCGCTTTATTGGCCCAGGGAGCTGGCGTACAGCTTCCAGGTCATGTGGCCAGCATGACTAAGCCGCTTCTGGCGAACCAGAGCAGCTCACAGAAACGCCTTTTGCCTTCCCGCCGGAGTGGTACCTATTTATCTACTTGCACTTTGACGTGCTTTCAAACTGCTAGGTTGGCATACAGAGCTGTAAAAGCATTATTTTTAAAAAAGTGAACAGCCTATATTAAGTATGGGGAAAGGGTAAGGGTAATTGAACCAAACTTTAATTTTCTGGTATTTTTAGCAGTCATTCAAATTACAGAACTAGGATTCTACGACAGCAGCTCATGTCACAGCTTTGGAATCCATTGTCATTTCTCAGAATATAGGAAGCTGCCTTATATCAGAACCATTAGTCCATCTAGATCAAAATTGCCAACACTGGCATAAGCTCTCCAGGCAAAAATCATTCCCAGTCCCAAGAGGCCCAGGTGGCCTCAGTAGCACAGAGAGCCTTCTGCCAGCTTCAGTTTGTGGCCCAGCTACGCCCCTATCTGCACAGGGATAGCCTCACTTCTGTGGCCTATACTCTGGTACCCTCTAGGTTGATTTACTGCAACATGTTATACATATTCTGTCTTTGAAGACGGTTTGGAAACTTCAGCTGGTGCAATGGCCAGATTGCTCACCAGAACAAGATGGTTTGAGCATATAACACCAATCCTGGCACAGTTGCACTGACTACCGATTAGTTTCCGGGCCCAATTCAAAGTGCTAATGTTGAGCCTTACACGGCTCAGGACCCTTAAGGGCCACTTCTCCCCATACAAACTGATCCAGACCTGCACCGTTCTAGTCTCTGAGGCTCCTTCTCTATGCCACTCCTCCCAGAAAGATTTTGAGGGTGGCAACAAGAGAATGGACCTTTTCTATGCTGGGTCCCTGATATGGAATGCTTTCCCCAGAGAAGCTCACCTGGTGCTGATATAAGAATTAGAGACCCAAGTGTGTGTGTGTATATATATAGTTCTTCATTGTTTCACTGTTAACTGCATTTCACCTCTTGGATAGAATGCAGAAAGGGAAATATTTGTTTTCTGTGTGAGGTTCATGTGGCCTGCATTTTACAACCTTATGCTCTCTAGGCCATAAACAAGAAACCCTATCTACCCTGAAAATGGTACAAATGGTCATTAAGGATGTTGTTCTCAGTTCTTTTTTTTCAGGTGTTACTCAAGGATACACAGTACCTGTAACTCTTTTTTTGTAGTTAAAAATGTGGCACTTACTGTAACAACTTCGTGGTGAGTACATGCACCTATTTTTATAGAAAAAAGCACTGGTTCTCATTAGCATCAAAGTGTAAATCCAAGTAGAAACTTTTTGAGATGGCTCAGGAATGAAGGGAAGTGAAATAGGGACTGGAATGTAAACAATACTGATGAAGACCTGGTTGCCAGGGCAATGGTGACAGAAGTGGGACATTTGAGGCCAAAGGCCTGGGCACATGTAGGCCACTGCAAGGTTATTGTGGGGGTGAGGATACCAATAAGGAGCCATGTGTGCTTTACTTCTCATGACCTGTAACCTTTCCTGTTGTATGTAGAAGGATGTTTGTTTTAAGAATGTTTAGATGTTTTTTATGGCTCTTTGTGTGCTGCCTGTATAAGCCTTGTTCTAATTCTCCTCATGGCAGAGGACAACCACGTTAAGTTGATCTCTGCCCTATTGCAATAGTTACAATAAACATGGAGTCCCTCCTGGATGCTGGACTTGAGTTCATTTCCTTGGCTCCATGTTTGATTTAAAGTGTGGTTCCGCTCCTGGGTAGCAAACAAAGTGGTGTAGACATCATTGCATGTCTTTAGACATCAGGTAAAAACATTCCAGTTTACCAAAGTTTATGGCTAGTAAATAATCTATGGCCTGTGAAAGTGCAAGAAAGGACCGTTATGGTTCTTTACTATTAGACTGTTTGTCAGTATGCTTCTTACTATGTTTTAATTTTATAAAACTATGTTTTAAGGACGTGCTGTGGGTTAAACCACAGAGCCTAGGACTTGCCAATCAGAAGGTCGGAGGTTCGAATCCCCGTGACGGGGTGAGCTCCCGTTGCTCGGTCCCTGCTCCTGCCAACCTAGCAGTTCGAAAGCACGTCAAAGTGCAAGTAGATAAATAGGTTCCCTCTGGTGGGAAGGTAAACGCCGTTTCCGTGCACTGCTCTGGTTTGCCAGAAGCGGCTTAGTCATGCTGGTCCACATGTCTGCGGACAAACGCCGGCTCCCTCGGCCAATAAAGCAAGATGAACGCTGCAACCCCAGAGTCGGTCACGACTGGACCTAATGGTCTGGGGTCCCTTTACCTTTACTATTAGACTGTTTGTCAGTATGCTTCTTACTATGTTTTTAGTATGTTTTATCATTGATGTTTTGTAATGTGTTCCTAATGTTGTACACCACCCTGAAATCTTTTGCTAAAAGATTATATAAAAATTGAATTATTAATATTAATAATAATATTTCACTCATGCACTTGCAAAGAGGTTGGATAAAGTTGGCTGGAAGTGCTGTAAAAATGATACATGGAGCAAGAGCAGCAAACAAATGAGAGAAAGGAGGTCAGCTTAGTTCCCATCTGGTTTATAGGAGAATAGAATAGTGGGGAAACATTCCTATTACAGGATAAATAATACATTGAAAAAAAGCAGTTTAGAGCCTGGTTCTTATGCATTCTGAGTGAGTGAGTTCAGTGAGTCTTCTTCCCAAGAAAGTGGTTTTTGGCTTGTGGTGCTCATCTAGATTAGGAGGAGAGAGCTAAGAACCAGCATTTTTCTTAGAGGAAATTCTGCGTATGTGTTGTGGGCAGGAGGCACCCTCAACCTCGAGACTGATGTGAAGTGCCATAATTTCACCACCAGCAGACAACAAGACAAATAACATATTTGCTGGCAGGAGACAAACTGTAGCAGAACAGAAATGGTGCTGCATGCAGCAAATAAGAGGTTAGGATAGAAAACGATACCTAAGCAGCCCAGTCTCACTCTCCCTTTCCTACATTGAATCACCTGGGTATGGAGGAGGAAGGGATGCACAGAGCTCATGAACATAATCAATGTAGCCTACATTTATCAATTGAGATATGTGGTTTGATGTGGTTTGATGATAGGCATGTTAGAAGGTACATTAGTCATCCCAAGCTGACAAAATCCAAAACTGCGATCTAAATTGGATTTATTTATTTATTTACTTACTTACGCAAAGCAAGTAACATGTAAGCAAGTTACATAGACTGCCCTATAAATTCACTCTTTGGAAGGCTCTTCAATATACACTGGTAAAACACAATATTAAAAACAGCTCTCTCATTTTGCATTTCATTCTCAGTGTAGTAGCAAGTAGCAAGAAAAATAAATATTTATGGAGCTTTGTAAAAAAAAAAAGGTAATACTTATAAAATTATAAAACTGTTTCTTATATGAGCAAAAAGAGCATCTTAGCCTTCTTCCCAATAATCTTCTGCAACAGAAAGCGAATTAAGTGGTGGGGTGAGAAACACTTCACCCTATGCTAGCCAGTTCCTTAGAAATAAAAATAAAACACTAGTAATGCACACTGGAAGGAGGAAGAATAGAGAAAGGATTTTGCCAAGAACCAAGGCAGACCCCTGTCTCACAAAGGAGGGCTTTCCTAAGTCAAGAGCTATCTAGTCCCCCTCCCCAATTACCTGACCCTGGCATAGCCCAAACGTGTTCAAAGTTCATCAGAATCTCTCCCTCTGAAACAAGCTATTTACACCTGCTTCCTGACACTGTGTCACAATGGAATTATTTGGAGGTGGGTCTACCCAACTGTGGCCCCGATAATTAGAGAGTCCCAAAAACACAGGTTGTCAATCTCTGTTCAAATGTTTTGCCAGCAAATTTAACAGTTGTTTAGCCAGCTTCACCCTGTGGGTCAGTTAATACTGTTGGGAAAACCCAAATAACACAGAACCTAACTTGTCAGCATCTTACATCTTTCACTGGATTTCACACGCATTGTGTAGGCTGGCTCAGCATACTTGGTGAAGTCATGGTCCTTAATGCCAGTGAGAGGCTGCCTACCATACTTCCCAAGTCCTGGCCCTGCAAGAGAACCACAAGGGGGGGGGGGAATAAAATAATGGGAAGACAACCCGGAACCATTAGCATTTGCAGATTATGAGCTGCCACACTGGGTAATAGTAAAAGGGCAAAATGGAATAATATATTGTGTTGAATAATATATTGAATAATATATTGGGTTGTGGAGCTACAGCTCTCCAGGTGTTGTTGTTGTTGTTGTTTAGTCGTTTAGTCGTGTCTGACTCTTCGTGACCCCATGGACCAGAGCATGCCGGACACTCCTGTCTTCCACTGCCTCCCACAGTTTGGTCAGACTCATGTTTGTAGCTTCGAGAACACTGTCCAACCATCTCGTCCTCTGTCGTTCTCCCCCTTCTCCTTGTGCCCTCCATCTTTCCCAACATCAGGGTCTTTTCCAGGGAGTCTTCTCTTCTCATGAGGTGGCCAAAGTATTGGAGCCTCAGCTTCATGATCTGTCCTTCCAGTGAGCACTCAGGGCTAATTTCCTTAAGAATGGATGTGTTTGATCTCCAGGTGTTGCTGCACTGCAACTCCCATCATCTCTGACCATTGAACCAGACTGGCTGGGGCTGATGGAAGTCCCACAACATACTTTTCTTCTCCCTCTGGTAAAATCTCGCTAGCCTTGGGCCAGGATATTTGCATTGCAATAGGAAATGAGCATTACAAGGCACCTGAATTCTTCTGTGGCTCGGACTATAATTCAAGCCAGAGAAGATTTCCCATTTTACTCAACCACCTATGCTCTGCCTGTAATTTCCCAACCCCCTTCCTTCATCCCCTTTAAACAAGCGTTACCCTGGTAGGACAACGGCAGTGGTGACATACCAGCCACAGGAAAAGGAAAACAAAAGGGAAAAAAAATATTATTAGCCTGACTCCCTCCTTTGGCAATCTTCACAGAACTCTAGCCCAATGGTTGCCATCAATTTGATTTGAATTAATTTTATAATGAAATGATTTTAGAATGTTGTATTATTTTATTGTTGTTAGCTGCCCTGAGCCCAGCTTCGGCTGGGGAGGGCAGGATATAAATAACATTTATTATTTATTATTATTTATTAACAAGGAATTATTTATTAACAATGCACTGTCTCGCATGCTAGCAGTACTCTTGGAAGAAAGTTGTGATGGTGACTGAGAAATGTAGGTTTCCACAAGAACAAAAAAGGAACCCTGATGGATCAAGCCAGCCAGCCACCCACCGAGTCCAGCATCCTGTTCTCACAGGGGCTAACCAGATGCCAGAGGGTCTTTCAACAATGCTGTTGAACACATCCAGATTGGCAAAGATATGGGTACCTCTGTATTCCTGATCTCCTTCTCTCTCTTGCCCCATCTCTTCCCACAGCTCACCTTTATACTTGGCACTGATGGACGCATACTGCTTCTTGATGGCTGGCACTCTGGCTGGATGCTTAGAGATACCAGAAAGACAACTAACAGGCTGAGCTGCACCTTTGGCTCTGGAAGTCAGCATTGGAGTGTGCCCACTGCAGTGGGGAGTCGTATGTGTCACCAGTGCTCTGGGGAATGAAAGGAAATGAATGAATGCAACTCCAACCTGCAATAAAATGTTGCACCATGGAGTGTTGCAGCTCAGGGTTCCAGCTACTCCTTTCTACCCCACCCCAAACAGTATTCAATTTCCACTAAGTATGCTAAGTTCACATTGGGCTATTTGGGGAGGGGGGAGTGTTCTCCTCTGAGGGATCTTATCCTATCCTATCCTATCCTATCTTCAAACCTTGCCGTTTTCTCCAGGCTTGCTGGATGGTGCTGTTTTGGCCACATAAGGACCATAAGTGCTAAAAGAATGGAGATTGCTGCTTGTTTATGTGATTTAAGGGCATGTACCTAGGCCGCGGTATCCAACATCCCAAGAGCTTGTTGGACTCCAACTCCCATCAGCCCCAGTCACCATGGGATGATGGGAGTTTTAGTCCTACAACAGACAGAGAAGAGCCCCTTTGCAGCCCCTGCACTGTAAGGGCTGAGGGAATGAGGGTGAATCCAGGTCTGGGTGCCTTTGTTTATTTAAACCAGGAATGGGAGGCTCAGCCCAGGAGCCACATGCCACCAACCAGACCTCTCTCTCTCTGACCATTAGCACTCTCTCCAGGTCACAAGCCTCCCTGCCCCTGCTTTGTGCCCTCTTCAAGTGCTTTTGCCTGGCTGGAATGTGAGATCAAAGCCTCTTGCTTTCCTGGATGAAGATGGGGGCAGGGGTAGGTATAGAAACTTGGGGGGGGGGGGTGTGGAGCTGGATTATAGCCTAATGCACAAAGAGTCCCTCCTGTTGCTCCACCCAGTTTTTGTCTCTAACCCCATTCAACACTGGTACATGGCCCTCAGATGGTTATCAAATATGGCCCTTGCACTAAAAAAAAAAAAGGTTATCGACCCCTGATTTTACTGCCCCCCCCAGCCTGCCTTTCAACAACAAGGTCCCCAAGGCAGCTCAGAACAATTTAAAATGAACAACATGGAATGAAATTGCAACCATAAAATATAATTACAAGCAGCTCAAGCAACTGTAGCACGATCCCAAACAGCAAAAGGAAAACAATAGAGATGATTAATAGCAAAATAGCCATGTAGAAAACACACCAAAAGAAACATGCAAGGGGAACCAGCAGGCAGGAGTTGGGGAAATAGTTTCATGTGTGTTGATAGCATTAAGCAAAGCCCCAATAAACTGGGGAGCTTTGCAGCTGTAATAGATTAAGATCGTGGGACCAGACTTCGACCTTGAACAAGAATGTACTCGGAGGCTCTGGTGCTTGCCTTTTGCAATTGGAACAGTTACATGAGAAGATGGATTTGATGACTGTTGCGATCGGAAATTTTGGACAGCCAGTGTCTAGAACCCACTCAGGAATTAATCCAGGAATGTGCTTTGACAGATGAGATGAAGGAGGAGGCTGTTGCTGGACCCCGGGTGGCAGAGATGGAGGGAGCTGTGGCCCAGCAGGAACATGAGTTGTTGGATTTGACGAATGGACCTGGAAAAGTCAGATTTGGAGAGATGGAGTTCTGTTTGGCTTGGAGATGGGGGGCTGGATGGACCCCCCTATGCAGGGATGTTTTGATTTTTCAAGTCTGGCTTTGGGCTGGGGGGAGCTCGGAGTTGTGGGGGCCCTTAACTTTGGAGGGGCCTTGAAACATGCCTTCAAATACCACGTGGATTTCGGTGTTGACTATGGAAAAGGGGCTGACTTGTTGAGAAGGGACAAAAATATTGTCAAGCTGGAGTCTCCCCGAGTGAAAGGAGCAGAAGACAAAGTAAAGTACAGGTATAAATATGAAGAAGACCTGCGGAAGGGACATGGAAGAGACTTAAGAGCCTCGGACATAAGGTCACCAGGTTGATGGACTAGATGGATGGGATAGAAAGGACTGACATAACCCGAGACCAGGAAGAAGTGTCGATGGATGAAGATTGGAAGAAAGTTTTAAAAATTCATTTAGAAAAGTATTGTAAAATTAATGAGTATTAGAAAAATGTTGGAATGAAATTATTGGGCTTTAGCAGAAATGTTAAAAAGAATTATGTAAGAATATGTAATGGTTAAGAGAATTTGGTATAAATAAGATTTAAGTTTTAAGTTTTAGGACTTTTTATGGTAAGATAAGGTTAAAATAGATTAAGGTAATTTAATGACAGAATATTGTGAAAGATGGAAAGGATTTGCTGAGATAATTAATAACTAGAATACAAAAAAAGGGAGGTGCGAGGAGGTCGATGAAATAAGGTAATGACAGTTAAGGATCTGGGAATATTGGATTTGTTTTTAAATTTTTTGTTTATTTTTGCTTTTTGTACTGTGTGTTTTGTTTTTTCTTTTTGACTTTGGTTTTTATTGATTTGTATTGTTTAATTGTTACTTTTATCTACTTTTTTCTTTCCTTTTTTTCCCTCTTGTTTTTTCCTTCTTATTTCTTTGTAACCTTAAAATTCTCAATAAATATCATTTTAAAAAAACAAAACAAAAAAACAAAAAAACCAAAGTACACTAAGAGATAGAAAGAACGGACAAACAAGGAAAAGGACAAAAAGAGGGGGTAGAGAAAAGAATATTCTTTCAGTATTCAAGTTATCTTTGACTAGCACAATCCCTACCTATCAGTAAACTATAAACGACTTGTCTAGGAAACCACAGGCGCTAGCCTGGAGAACCACGGGTCTCTTCACCCGGAAAACCACAGGCACTAGCCTGGAAAACCATGAGTCTTGTTAACCCGGAAAATAACCACGGATCCGGAATTTGGCCTCAGCGCTGTTTACAAGACTAACCCTAGTGTGGGGCCCGTTTGTGAACCTCCAGTTCTACCATCCACGACAGCCTCCTGCCTAGCCTTTGAGACTAAATTCGGGACTCCCTACTGAACGCCTGCGCAGTGCAGTGCCAGATCGGGATCCGAGAAAACAAAGTTTTGAAAGGAAGCAAATGACCTTGCGTTCTCATGTACACGGGTCATCCCCAACAAGGGTCGCCGAGCAGGAGGGGCGGCTTCATTTGCATGGACAGGGGGAGAGAGAGAGAGCGCGCGCGAGAGAGGTAGAGAGAGACTTGTAAGGACGCTTCCGGATGACTCTGAGGGAAGACGTCAGAGAAATAATAAAGTTCCGCGTTTTCCCCGGCCAAACTCCGAGAGGGAAATCGGGGGAGAGAAAGAGAGAGTTTAGGACGCTCCTGGTCGACTCCAAGGGGAGACGTCAGAAAACAACAAAAGTTCCACGGTTTCCCTGGTCAAACTCCGAGAGGGAAATCGGGGGAGAGAAAGAGAGAGTTTAGGACGTTCCTGGTTGACTCCGAGGGGAAACATCAGAGATGGAAAGAAGAAAAGTCCAGCTGCCGTGGAGACGTTACCTTTCCACCCCCTCCCAATGTATTTTAAACCATACTCACGTTCGTAGATGTCCCCCGTGGATCCCAGGATCCTTTCTCTTTAGCCGGCTTGACCTTGCCTTTGTTCCCCCTGGCTGGGCTTTTGGTGACGATTGATTACCGTCCGCAAAGAGGAGGCAGGGAGAGGAAAAAGGGATCCCCGAGCTAAGGTTGCCCAGTGGCGCCCGACCCCCTCTATCTCCCTCCTCACCTTTACAGGAGAACCAAGTGTCCCTGAGCACGGTCGCCAAAACTGTTACTGGAGAATCCGAGGGCTCCCTTGGGCAGAAATCAAGACACCAACCAGAGCAATTTGGAGCAAATCAGCAGCCTGTAGGCTCGGTCTTTACTGAAGAAAGACTGTCGCGACAGGACTCCCACCGCCCACAAGGTGAAGCAAGATGGAAGCCCAGAACAAAAGAGCACCCCAACTTTTATTAGCTTCTAATCCCCTGAGTTACACCCCTAGAAATACATCATAACTACATCATGACTACATTAAAAACAGGAGGAGTCAGGGGAGGGGTTGCTCAGGTAATCTGAGTACCATGACACCTGGCCGGAGCCCCTTTTCCCCCTCCCCATGAGTCATTTCCAGAAGACAAAAGGATAGGCGCAGTTTCCTGCCCCGAGGGGAATCCGATCACTGTCCCTTTGTCGTAGTCCATGTTGAATCCACTAGTGTATGCAGTTCGTTGTGTTCTTGATAGTCTTCTGTCTGAGCCCATCAAGATGACTATCAAGGTTGCCATGCCAACTGGGAAGGGCTGTAGTGTACGTGCCTCCGCGTTTGAGGGATTATGGCCGATTGATATCAGGCCACCCCCCTTTGATAGTCCTTGTGATATGAAGCAGAATAAAAGTGGTCCGGTGAAGATCCGACGTACGGCTGATTTATAGTGAATTTATGAAGAAAACTGTCCTAGAAGTTCAAAGCGCTTTCGCTTTTCTGGAAGCCTGTTGCAACATTTTTATTAGATCAGTCACGGTCAATTGAACTCGGAAACTTTGTATTTGAGAGCTGTCAAAGTATAGGGAAGCGCGCCTTTGCCTGCAGTACCTGCGTGGCCGCCACAAGGGGCGCTGTTCGGTAACGCTGATTGGTTGAAGCGGCAGCCGATTGACCTCGAGTTCGGAGAGTTGGTCAACCCATAATAAGAATAGGGCGAGGTAGAGTTTCACGGTCTACTCAGGGGAAATATATAAAAATAACAGGGGTTCCATACGGAGCTGTCAAGTTAGCGCTTCCTTATTTACGGAAGGCTTTCAGGGGATGCCCCTCTAGAAGGGGCATCTCCAGGCTCGGGGAGGTGGGCTGTGTGTGTGTGTGTGTGTGTGTGTGTGTGTGTGTGTGTGGTGTGTGTGTGGTGTGCTTGTGCATTACAGTGTAATGAAGGGGGGGGGTCTCCTGCTACACTCTCCTTTCCTTTCTTCTGAAAAGATCAAGGCAGTTAACAAAAAATACAAAAATCAAGCCATAATTTAGCAATTTAAAATATTTGTTGGAAAAGCAGAAGCAGGAAAAGAAACATACCTCCTATGACAGCAAGGACCCCTTGTAAACAAAAAGATACAAGAAAGATCCTTCTTCTGGGGCCTGCCTGGTGCTAGCCTGTGTGTAGTTCAGATTCGGAAGTTGGATTGCATTTCCTGCCATTTGGGTGCAGAGTGCTCTGTGTCAGAGCTGGCCCACAC